CACTATTATAAGGTTAAGTACTGTCATTTTACCATTTTATTTCAATGAATGTTAACTTAGAAAACACAGAATGTATTCACATCAAGATCACTTGTTTCAAAGAATTTTCATTTAGTATAAAATGGGTAGCCAAAATGTTAAAAAAAAAAATGAGCAAAGCAATAAATACAAATTAAAGAAAACAAAAATAACTATAAACTTTTTAGTATGCACTTATTTTTTTTGTGTTTTTTTTTCTTTTATTTCAATACTTAAAAAATTAAGGACATTCTGCAAGTTTAAAAGTTTCATTTTTATATCTGAACAAAAAGAACAAAAAAAAAATTTATGTACCTACATTTTGGCTACATGAACGCTTAAATATTACTATAAAATTGAACATACACATATGTACCTATATAGAATATAGGTATACAATTTATGTAAATAGATACTTGTAAAATAAGTGGAAGGAAATACGAGTATATTGCCCAAAGGCAATGTAATTTTTTGCATATGTGATGTAAGTGGTTCTAGTTTTTGTTTTTTTCATTTTTACAAGGCGCATCTACCCTGTTACACATTAAAATGTTAAAATGCATCAGTTTTATAAAATTATATTCTATATATGTATATTTAGATACTCGTATACTCATATATGTTTAATATTATATGCATTGAATAGCTTTTACAACAGTTTGTTATACTGTGCTCATATTATATTTATATGCATTTTATTTGCAACAGGACAATTAAGTGCTGTTATAAAAAGTATAATTTAAAAGTTTTACCTTGCCTTTCGTTACTATAACGTAAAAAAAAAAAAACAAGAAAAATAGTTTGCTAAAAGTCTCTTTGCATATTTCTTTTGAGAAAATGAGTATCCTTTTTAACGTCATTTGTTTAAATATAATATGTTATTTGTGCATGTTATGTGTGTGCATATTAGAATCTTTTTTCCGTTTTTTTATGTTTGTGCAATTTAAATTACTATTTTAAATATTAAATATGTGATTGTGAATGCATAAAACATCTGATATAAAATTATATTATTTTTCTATTCATGGCCATATGTTCTAAGTTGACCCAGGACAGATCATATACACAATAAAAAATAATAGTTTTTTATAATTTCATGTACGTATGGGTATAGATTAAAAAAAAATAAAATAATTTTCTTTTCCTTTATCTTAATTTTGGGATAAATTTTTAAAATTATTGAATCCACTGTATCAGCCACTGCAAATACTTATGTCTCAATATATTTGCAAAGATTGGAATTATTATGTTAATGAAAGAAAATAGAGTTGACCGCGTTACCCGTACCGATTTGACCGATGATACCCGTACAAATTTGTTATCCTATGTGCGAATAAATATGCCATAGCTGACTATGGGACAGACTATGACTTTAAGTTATCATATTACCATATTTATTTATGCAAAATTTTAGTACTGTGTTTTCAATATTTTCTAAGGTAAAGCCAAACTACTATTGAAGTTGTATGGCAGCTACCAGAAAGAGCCAAGCAATTTCAACGAATTTTATGAAACACTTAGTATCTGAGCTTTTGTAGTATCTGGGGTATAGCCAAATAACTTTTGAAGTTGCAAAATTTCATTTACTATAATGAACCATTTGTGAAAATTTAATGATATTATCTCAATTACTTTTTGAGTTATCGTTGGGAAGAACGGACGGACGGACTGACGAACAGACAAAGCTAAATCAATTCAGAATTCGACACTAATCAAAAACATACACTTGAGTCTATATTTCAAACCATTATTTCTTAGCGTTACAAATGGTAAGGCTTAAGTATATGTGTATATCTATAGATACTTCCATAATGAATTAAATTATTTGAGATTTTTACTATTTATATAACTATATTTAGGTAATACTGCAATGCTCCACCATAATGTCGCAAAATGCATTAAAAATATTTCAAAATATTATAAAGAGCGACACAAGACTTTTTCTGTTCTAATTGTAAGTTATTTTGGTCTACAAAAATTGATCTTAATGCTAGCCAACAATATAATATTGATAGCCCAACAGAGCTACATGTAGTGCAATTGATACAGAAGCCTTTAGAAAACGATGAGCATTGGTTTGAGTCCAGTTTATGAAGAACATTTTTTTTTTTTAATTATTTGTCTTGACTCGTTCTATTGACTACGTCACTCATCTGCGTTTTGCAGAGGCTATTCCTTTTATTTACTCAAGAAATATTATTTTTATTTTTATGAAATTTATTAAAAATTGGATTAATAGAACCAAACGCCATTCTATACGTACAATGGTAGGCAGCTTACAAGCTATTTAAGATATAAACTCTTCGAATCTGAGTAATTGCAATTAAAATATAATTAATTACGAAAAACAATAAAATTCATAATTTTAACTAAATAAGTAATTAATTTTTTTTTTGAAGATTTTTTACCTCGCAAAACATTCAACTTTAACTTTGGTTCAATTTTTTTAATGGTGTCATAATTTACGCAATTAAAACGAAAATATTTTTTTTATATAAAAAAAAAAATTCATTTTATTTATTTTTTATGTTTTTGTTTTTTTTAATAACAAAGTGGAAAATTTCTCTAGGGAATACAAAACAAAAAAAAAAAAAAAAACAGAAAAAATAACAGAAACCGTAAAGGAAATGGTGTAATTAAAACCATTAACATCTTTTAATGGTATTGTTAAAAACAACCAACAAAATGTATAAAAATACTAAATTTCAGTAAGTATGAAATATCAAAAAGCGAAAACAGTAAAAGCGTTATGTCATCTTCTAAAACTGCTATCAGTTATCTACCAATTTCTTTCTTTCATTTTATTTTTCCATTTTTATCCTTTTTCTTTTTTTTTGTCATTTCAACATTCCACGACATTCATAAGAAAGGAAAACTAACAAAATAATCAAAATTTATTGAAATTCTGTAACACAAAGAACGTTCATAATAGTAAAAGCATTTTGCACACTGTGCATTTTCGCTATTAGTTTTGAATAGATTGTGCAATAATTCAGTCTTCAATATGGTGTTAGGAAAATGGGGCTATTTTAAAATATAGAACAACTTAATGGAGTTTTTTCGGAACTGTTCTTGCCACATTGTATAGCATTTATTGGAAAAATGTTAAATTTTATTAAAAATTTTTAAAGTGAATTCAATAAAATGCGGGGGAGGAGGGCTGGGGATTTTGTTTGAATTGCGCAAGTTATTTGACAGCAACCAAACTTTGTACTAACCTAATTGTTTATTCGCCATAAATTTTGATATTCGCGTAATTTGTAAAAAAAAAAATAAAAATTTTTAAAGAGTATCCAAAACTTGTCTTGGCAACTGTTATGCAGTCGAGCTCCTCTTTATCCACATTTCATGTTCATGTTCTTGTTTGTGTATTTAATAATATATGTATAATAAGATATGCGTATATACATATATTTTGTATATTATTTACATTTAAAAATTCCATTTGTCCTTTTTATCCTTTATTTGAACAGTCAATTTGCTGTTTTTCCCTTAGCACAAAGTTTTAATGTTTATTTTTCATTAGAAACGGATTTTTGATGTTAGAACTATTCCTTCAGGGTGATGACCTTAATTCATGTTTTCCCTTTTTCCAATTTTTGTTTTTTTTTTTATATTTTTTTCCTTTTCTTCTGGTTCTCGTTGTTATTTGAGAAAGTAAAAGAGCAAATGATAAAGGCAAATAATAAAGTTACGTTTAAAACATAAGAATAGTATAGTAAAAAGTAGATAAAAGGAATGGAAAAAAAAGAACAAAAACAATAGGATTCGAAAAAAAAAAAATGTATCTAGATATATCAGTCCTTTATAATATCCTTCTTGTCCTTCAAAATAAAAATATAATACTTTAATCGTATTAAGTTTAGTGCGTTATGAAAAAGTTATTATTATTATGTTATAACAATTTATGTACATATATATGTATATGCGTAGATGGGAAACCGTTTTCATTTGAATACTTGAATTTTTGTAGGCATATATGTGCGTTAACATTGGTTTACATACAAACGCATGTTTAAGATATAATATGTGTCCGAAAAAGTAAAACTATGCTCGTATGCTCGTATGATGAGGTTATAGTGAAAAATATATATATATATATAATATATATATATATATATATATATGTACATTTTTTGATGAATTTCAATGTAAAAAATACTTGTGTTGTTTGGTATAGTCTGGAAAGGACCGTTAAAACAAATTTTATTTATTACAGCAAAATGAATTTTGTTCTTTGACCCTTTTTAAGTTGGATACCCTCATACACTTCAGAACAATATTTTTGGTTCTAAGCAATAAGTAAAAAAAAAAAACAGTGACGATAATATATAATTGCTTAATATTTAACTGTACTCATGCCAAGCTGTAAAATTTATGCTCTAATTTGTATAGTTTCCTTTTATTTGACCTACTCTCGCTTATTATCAATTTTAATCACATAATTTTTTAAGATCTTGTGTTTGACAGAAAAAAAATTTGTTCAAAAGCCGAAATTTTTAAAATCCGAATTTAAAATTTGTTACAACATTCTGGTCTTTAAAATTAATAATATTATTCAAATTAAATTCATAATATTGCATATCCTGAATTAATTAATTATACATAGAAAATTTCTCACTTACAATTCAATAATATTTTACTATACTTTAATTTTTAATACCTTAAATCGGTTATTAGAGTTATTATTATATAATATAAGTAAGATAAGAGTTATAATTTATATAATAATTATGTAGTATAACAGGTATAAATTTATGAGCACGTTTCATTTGAATTAAATAAAAACACATGCGTATAATTCATTCACCTAAGTTGTAATAAAAGTATACAAATACATAAGAGTAAATCGGTTGAACATACAGATTAATATTATAATGTATATAAGTAATAAATAGTAAAAATAATATGTATATAGAAAATATTAAGCATATATATATAGATATTATAAATAAAATAAGTGAAAATATTATTATACTTACGTTTCAGTTTAATTATATTTTTGCACATGAAGAAATTTACGTTTTCATGTTAAATGGCTAATTAATAATTTGCTTTGTGTTTTTAATTAGATAATTTGGTTCCTGTGGCTGTATACATGTAATTTATATTATTAGATCTGAAATTATATATGTAAAAGAGAAATAATGTTAATTATAAAAATTCTACATACGTACATGTGTAATATATAATATTGAATCAATAATAAAATAATTAATTTAATCTTAATTATATATCGGTCATAAAAATGAGTGCATATATTATACAAAAAAAAAATTTTGATTATATAAAAATATATTTTGAATTAATATTATATTAAGCTTAAGTATTCAAAGTGATTATTGTGGAATACTTACTATCGAACTAGATTAAATATAATTTTAAATTTTTAAAAAATACAGTCGTTATTACATAATGTGCAATTGTTTAATAAAAGTATTTTAAAATGTTTATTAGAAATTATTACTGTTAAGTCTGTATAACAGATTGCAATATGATATATTATGCAGGTCTTTTAGGAGTCAGTGTTTTGGAATATGAATTCAAATGGGTAAGATTTTTGTTCAAACTACAGGAAGACAGGATTTTAATGAATTTTCACGAAATGTCAGCTCTTGCCCAAGTTTTTTTTTTTGCTTATAACTTCCATTCCAAAAAAAAAAGATAGAAGCTATAAATAAAAATTTTTTTAAAGTACTAGTAAATCACTTGAAATTGACGTATTACTTTTTTTTTTAGCACTTTTCCAAAAAAATTTTGAAAAAAGTGCTTATTAGTTTCATTCTGTTCGTTCGTTGGTCCGACTGTGTCTGTTAACAAAGCTTTTACACTCTTTAAGATAGAAAACGAAAATTTAACTTATAGGAACCTTACCGCAATTTTATTTTCGTAGAAGAAAATTTTTATCTATCTCCTTCTTTCTAAAAGTAATACAGATCCTAAAAATGCTTTTTTCCAAATTTTTAACGTAATTTTTTATTTTAGACCAGCTGTAAGAGTTTGAAATTTGCAGAAATGCAGAAAGCTTGAGATAAATGCAGAAAGCTTGAGATAAATACCATGCCACCAAAAAATATAATTATAGTTGTTTTTACTCACACAATCAACCCGTGAATTCACAACTGTGTTAACGGCTCTTTAATTTTTTTTTTACATGCCCCTAAAACTATGCAAATTTTTTCAAAATTTTTTGATTATGAATAAAAGTTACTTCAAACACAGTTTTTAAAAGCCCTATTTCCACTTATGTTGGTTATATAGTTTCCGAATTAAAAATATCACACATTAAATTATAGTATTATGTCAAAGCGTATTAATCACACTGAACATTAGACTTAGAAAACAAAAAAAAATTTAAGATTTAAGGATTTTTCATTTCTTAGCAAAATTCTGCAAAATTCTTATTCTCAAAACTGTTTCTTCTTGATAGCTATTCTTAGAACAAGCCGCCAATAAAATTTTGTTGGAACAAAATAAATTAATCAGACAGAAGCTTAGGTATATAAAACCGCAAACTCCGACGACATATCGGTTTTTTATAAAATAATAATAATTTTAGACAATTCGCGTTCTGAATTGGAAAGAAAAGAAAATTGTGCATTCAAAATATTCTGTTTAATATGCTTTTTATAAATTTTTGACATAAAATACTATCAGTATGCGTCAGTTAATATATAGATTGATATAGAACTAATTTTTGACTTTTTGCATGGAAATTTCGTGAAATTATTTGTAATTCAAAAAATCTTGCCAAAATAGAAAAAAATTTGTTTTGAATTTAAATATAGTTTAAATTTCAAAAGTTTGCGTTTGACAATTTGGAATACTACCATACTTACCCCAAAAATTAATTAGTTGAAAACATTTCTCAAGAAAGTTTATATATAAATCTCTAATTTATTTGAATAATTATTTATCATTTAAGTCGACCGCACATAATTTTAACTAAATATTTTAAAACTTATTTTATGGTAAGTCCCAAATAAGCTTTTATCATATAACTATAATATTGAAATAATTATTACTAAAATCTCCATTTAGTTTATCCGGAACGTATTTCGTAATTTTCAACCAGTTTTCAAATGCAAAATTAATTGAAAACTTACACTATAAGAATTACAAATGAAATTTCGATTCAATAAACAAATATCAATTATAAAATCAAGTCCACAGTTTGTTATCCCAAAATATATTCTATACTTTAAAAATATGACTTGGCAACAATATTTACTTATACAGGATACCTTAACCCCATCGAATTTTTATAAATAACGTATATCTATTATGATTTTTCGTTATTTAATTTTTAAACTTCTCATTTCTAAATTTTTCGCTATGAATTTTGTTGCTATGTTTAAAACACGTAATAAAATTATTTTTAAAAACACTTTAGGGAAAAAAAATGTATATATATGTATAAAACAGAAATTTTAAAGCTTCATCAAGGATATGATTTGAGAAAAAAATATAGAACAAGAATACAATGAAAATTTTAAATTCATTTTTATTTTTCTTCTTGAATTTTCTTTTATGAATTCGTAACAATAAGTTTTTCTAGAAGATATTTACCTAGGAATATTATAGAAAATCAAATTCTTTTTATAGTCTTTGAATTTCATTTTATTTCTCTTGAATCACCTAAGGTCTATAAAGGAAAATCTTCCACATATGATGTATTTGTACAACACTACATATGCAATTTCATATATGAAGAATCTCCTCATGTATTTATATATCGTATATTAATTGTTTCTCTCTCTATCTCGAAATCCTTTTTATACATACGAGAATTATATATTTATAATTTTATATACTTTAATAAAAATTATACATATACACGAACATTATTGTTATGGATGGGTTCATTGAATATTATAATGTTTGTGAATATGTTATGTGTGCCCTACATCCTATACGTAGATGTTACACAAAGAGCTATTATAAAATAAAAATAAAAGAAAAGAGGTAATCCAAATCCATATAGGCGTTAAGGGTAATCGATGTTGCGTTGACATTTCAATCGACTTTACACCAAATTAAGCTTCTCTTTTCTTTTTTTTTCCTTTGGCTTTACCTTTTTACTATTACGTTATAATCTTATACATTTACTTATTTATTTATGCTGCTGCTTTTTTTTCGCTTTTTTTCTGATCTGAATTACCTTATTTTCTTCTATTTTATAAAAAAGAATTTTCATACTATATAGGTAAATATATTTCCAACTGTAAGGAATAATATAGTTACCGTGACCTAAAAGAAAATTTTATTTTTATATTTTTTGGTTATTGTATTCTTCAAAAAGGAACAAAAAAAAAGGGAAATATGCCAGAAACTTTATATTTTTTTAACCAGAATTGAATTATTAACATTTAAATAACACACATGAATAAACTTAATTTTTTGAAAAATATAAAAATATTTTTTGTTGTACGTATATTTTGAGCCGTAAGGACGATAACAGCATTTTATAAAATGGTCATAAATTATTTCATGAACTTAATAATTTAATTGTTATACGTATGTATATATATTTGACGCATTTCAAACAAGCGTTCTATGAAATAAAAGCATAATATCATTTTAATTTAACAGCGAACAATATAACAAACGGTAATTGAGTACAGTAAAAATATGACAGTTTCATTTGCAGAAGCAGTTAAAAGTAACTATGTATTTACATACTGAAAATATATTTGACAAGTGCGACATATGACATAAAACCAATATTATTTAATGTTGTGATTAATTTTTAAAATAATCGGGTGAAATATTTATATTTATGAGGCAATAGCAATGCTCATTTTTCATTTTCACCGAATCACTTTTATTAAGAGCTAAAAAATATGTAAAATTTAATTAGATATGCATCGACCTGGACTAGCGAGATTTTAACAAATTGTTTAAAGTAATTGTGATGGGAACCCTGTAAAATTTGAATCCTTACAGCATTAAGTAGTTTAATAATGGGTGGTAGAATTTTGTTACAGTCATTTTAAATTTTCAGAAGCAGTCCCCCCAATTCTAAATATAATTTAGTCAAAACAAATTCAGAAAACTCTAAATTTTGCATTACTTAATTTCGGCGAAAAAGACCATTGTAAAAAGGCCATTTTATTCCAATTAAATTTGGTAATAATTGTATAAGTTCTTTTGATGGATGCCGTATTTCTAAGTAGACTGTATAAGTTTAGTAGCAGAGAAATACTAAAAAATATTGTAATGAATCCTTTTAGTGACTTGTCACACAAAACGATTTTGGAAAGCATTTTGAATAATATTCGTATGCTGGTATCACAGAGTTTATAAGAGGTGAAGTGGGTAGCATTCTATATGATTTCATTTTCAATTGATCATCACTTTCTAGTAATAAGTTCGAATATAAAATAATATTGACAATAAGAGATCACACCGAATTTCACACAACGAGTTTTCGGTAGAAACGCACTCCTCCATAGTAGAGAAATGTAAATAAACTATTTTTAGAAAGAAGCTGGCGTGTTTATCTGTCTGTCTGTCTGTCTGTCTGTGTGTGTACGCAATTCTCGAAATTTTATATATGAGTTTATTTTAGTTGTGTCACGGATTGATTAACTTTTTGGAAACATCAGATCTCGAGCACTTTTTTACGGGGTGATTTTACATTTTTGTACATATAAAAGTAAATTAAACTAAGCTGAGGACCGACTTTATATTTGGCACCATATTTGCGGAACTAATTGATGGAATTTCTTTAAATTTAATATTTGGGTTCTGCTGACTACTGGAATTAACTGACGAACTTTTCAGGAAATGCGGACGTCATAAAGTGAATTTAATTTAAGAGCCAAAACTACATTCTTCTAAGTATGTTAACAAAGAGCTTATTAGAGTTCTTAAAATTTGAAGGAATCATGTACATCTTATGTTTATTTAAATAAATGGTTCTTAAAACATTCACAAAATTTTAAATAAAAGTTAGAGATTCAAAACAAATGTAATTGAAAATTAGAAAATTACAATGTATACAGAACTAATCTTCATCTGCATAAAAGGATAGACGATGAGCATATAAATTTTTTCTAAAATCTTTATAAATTGTTGCACGTTTTACGTAATCGAATGTTGTTAAGTATACAAATT